ACGTTAATATAATTAATTAATTAATTAATTAATAACGACGTGCGAAACGCTTGTACTCAACAGTGTAATTTTAAAAAATTTAATTTTGTTTGTTTGTTCGTTTGTTTGGTTGGTTGTTTGTTTGGTTGTTTTACGCACAAACGGACGAGTCGAAAAAAACTGATCTGATTTCAACAAGTTTTTTATTTTCACGTTCTTATGGTTATTGTCAAATCTAGGTTTTATTCTGGTACGGGAATTTTATTAATATTTACCATAGTCATCATCATCATCATCATCATCATTATTATTATTATTATTATTATTATTATTATTACTTGTATTTGTGATAAAAATGTCGAATAATTTTATTACGTCATACCTTTCTCGATTTAAATTTTTTTTTTATTAAAATGTAATATTTTTAAAATCAAATATTTATTTTTTTTATACGCGTTTTAAAGAATTGAAAAATTAGTAATGATGATTGTAGTAGTAGTAATAATAATAATAATAATAATGGTAATGGTAGTGGTAATAATAATAATAATAAGTATAATCAACCAAGTGAAAATCCTGGAAGAAATACTCACAAGAAAAAAAAATATAAATTTTTTTTTTTTTTTTTTAATCGTGGGAATCGTAAAACGTATTTAATAATAATAGTAATAATAATTTTTTTTTTTTTTTTTTCTATCGTAGTCGAACTAATTTTAAAAAGGGTTTGTTTGTTTGTTTGTTTGTTTGTTCGTTTGTTTTAAAAATTGAAATTTGACGGTTAAAAAACAACTGAAAAAAGCTGAGAGAGAGTGAGAGGAAACGTGGAAATAATTTTTTAAAAATTTTAATTGATATTATTCGAATGGGGTTATTGTTTGTTTATAAAATGATGACGTCAGAGTGATATCAAGGGTGGAAACTTTTTTACTATTCTTCCGAAGGAGAAAACAAAAAATTTTTTGAGGGGGTAATTTTTTTTTTAATATTTATTTATCAAGGGCCTGGTAGCGATGATGATGTGCAACAAACGATATTAATTTACCATCTTCTTCTTCTTTCCTTCCTGTTTGTTTGTTTGTTTGTCTTCTTTTCGTTTCCCTTCACGCAATAGTAAAAGATACAACAACATTATAGTAAAAGAATTATTAACTACCGGTATAATAGAAATTTAAAAAAAAAAAGAAAGTTTATGGTTGTTGTTGTGTCTGTGTGAGATTCTAAAAAAAAAACAAATTAATTGCAAAAACATCATAAAAATTTTTAATTTATTTATTTATTTATTAACTTTAATAATAATAATAATGTCAAAAGTCAAATTGGAAAATTTCGAAATAAAATAATTAAACCAAAAAAAAAAAAAAGGAGAGGAAAAACCTTCGAAAGAAATTATTACCGTTTGTTGTTGTTGTTGTTCATCCATTAAAACAAACAAAAAAATTTATGAAAACGTTAGAAAAAACTAAAAAAAAATGACGCGATCGACTAAACCTGATTTCAATGAAAATGTCATCGTGTTCACATGCATTTATAATTGATTAGGTACACATTGTTTAAAGTGGTTTTTTTTTTTTTTTTTTTTTCACCTTAACGAAAAAAAAAGCTTCGTCACGCAGTTTGTGTATCGAATAGTACGCGCGTTATCCCCTCCCTTACCCTCCTCTCCTGCCCCCCGACGACGACGATGACGATCCCATCGTAAATTTCTTACGGGATTTTCAGGTATTTTTTTCATTTTTTTCGGGAAAGAATTAATTTCTCGTCAGGTTTTTTTTTTTTAAATAAAATATGAAGGTTATATATTTTTATATTATAATTAGGGATTATCGGGAATAAATGGGAGAGGGGGAGGGGGAAACGGCGGGAAAAACAAAACAAAACTCGTGAGATCGTCCTTCGAATATACGAGGAAATACAAAAAATGAAAAATTTTTTTTTTTTTTTTTCACAATTTAAAAGTCGTGGCATTAGTTTATTATTCGTAAAAAAAAAAAAAAAAAAAAAAAAAAAATGTTTTTATTAGACTTCTTCCGATCGGAAAAAAAAAAGAGAAAATTAACTTCCTTAAATTATTATTATTATTATTGTTATTATTATTATTATTATATTATTATTTAAAAGATATTGAAATTAATTAAAAAAAAAAAAAAGAGTGAAAATTTTTTTTCGAGAAAAAAACAAGGTTTTCAAGTTTAAAAAAGTGAATCGTACAATACGATTTCGTTATTATAAAAATGTGGATGATGATGATGATGATGATAATGATGATGATGATGATAATGATGATAATGATGATAATGATGATGATGATTTCTCTTTTTTTTTAAGTACCACGTGCGGAAGTTATTTTAAAAAAATTGCCTCCGTTTACTATCATTTCGTATTGATATTTATTATAATCCCACGTGAAATAAGGATTTACTTTATGCGAAATTTACGACGACGCCATGTTTTTTTTTTATTTTGGTTTTTCACGTTAAAAATTACAAAATTAAAATTATTATTATTATTATTATTATTATTATTATTATTATTATTAATATTTATGTAAAAAAAAGGTTAAACGTTTAAACGTTCTCCTCCTTATTTTCGAAAAACTTTCAAGGATTTTTATTAAAAATATTTCGACAACTCCCAACTATAAAAATGTAGTTTTTCCCATCCTTCCTTTATAACACTTTAAAAAACCGGAAATCGTATTTAAAATAATAATAATAATAATAAAACTTTTCCCAAATTCTTAAGTATAAAAAATAATAATAATAATAAAATTTAGTTACGCGACTTTTTTTTTTTTTTTCCTACTTCTTGACGCTGCATAAACGTGGCAGTAGACGATATTTAAATTTTAAAAAAACACGTTGAGGAAATTTGTCGGTTAAATTTAAACTCGTATATTATGTACCTTAATTATAACCATTAACGTAATTTTTTTTTTTTTTTTTTGATTTCTTCAGGTATAATGAGGAGGGGAGAAGGAAGAGGGGAGGGGGGAGAAATCGTTTTTATCGGTTGTTGTTGTTTCCTTACAAATCGATTCGTAATCGTACGTAACAAACACTTCGAACAGGGTAATTTTATCTCGTACGTCGGGAAATTAAATTTCGTATGTATTATTATTATTATCGTTAAAATTTATCCTCTCGCGAAATTTTTCTTTTTTTTTTTGCACGTCGATAAATACGAAAAGATATATATATATATATATATGTGTAAGTTATTTTATCACGTAAGTGATTGATATCGTTTGCAAATTTTTTTTTTAATACCTTGCAGGTTGTGCTATTATTATTATTATTATTATTATTATTATTTTTACAGAGGTTATAAAAAGAAGAAAATTTTTTTTTTTTTTCGGATAAGGAAAGTTGGTATTCCGATAACAACAACACGTCGGCCTTGGAAAATTACTGTTTAATTAACAGTGTTGCCCACGTGTTGATAGGAGTAATAATTTTTAAAAAAAAAAAACAGGGCTCCCTTATCTGCCATCATCTCGTTTCTTTAAAAAAAAAAAAATTATGCGTTCCGAAGAGAAGAACGTCGTTATCATTAAAATATATTATTATTATTATTGATAAGGTTTAAAAAATTCGATGGTGCGGGGGGGGGGGGGGAAATGCGAAAATTTTTAACGTTCGCGATTGGTTTTGAACTTTTTTGAATTTTTTTTACAACAACAACAACAACCATCGTGTAGATTTGCGTGGGCGATCTAACGACTAACCTTTTAAAACAAAATTAACGAAATTATCCGAAAGAAATATTTTTTAAATCACGTGGTTTCACGTGGACAAACACGTTTAATTACTCTAAGAAATGATGATGATGACGTATTTAAATTATTTTTTAAAAAACGTGCGTTATGAAAAAAATTTTACCGCGTTCGCTCCTCGTTAAAAGGAGTCATAATAATAATAATAATATATATTACGGTAATAAACGTAATAAATAAATTACTTAATTATTATTATTATTATTATTATTATTATTAGAGAAACGAGTTAATAATAATAATAATAAAGTGTGATTCGTTAGTGTGAAAGTCGATTTTATTTATTTATTTATTTATGTTAATAAAAAAAAAAAAAGCGATTGCAAAATATTTTCGCGCGTAAAAATAAATTTGTAATATAAATAAATAAATAAATATGGCGCGCATAAATAAATAAATTGGGATGGCATTTAAAACGAATTCGATAATTTTTATTTATTTATTTTTTTTTATACGTGTCACGAATGTGTAGGAACTTTTTTCGAAAAAAAAAAAAATTACGTAATTTTTTGTAAATAAATAAATAATAACAATCGGTTGTTGTTGTTGTTGTTGTTGATCGATTTCAAAAAAATTACACGTTGTTCACTAAGACAAATTGGGGGAGGGGAGGGAGGGGAAAAGTACTGTTAAGTAAAAAAAATAAATTGTTGTTTGTTTTTGTTTGTTTTTGAGGGAGTAGAAGTAAGTAGTTGGTGATGAAGACACCACATTAAGAAAAATACTTAAAACGATTTTTTTTCGGGGGGAGGGAGAGAGGAGAGGGAAACGGAGGGGAGAAGGAGGAGGACAGGAAGTATTGTCGAAACAAAAAGGAAAAATATACACATATTGACGAAAAAAAAAAAAAGTAAATAAATAAATAGAATCCCAATGGCAAGGTCTAACTTGTTTCTTATAATTACATTAGAGAGCCGGTTTTTTTTTTTATACAACTTTTCAAAAAAAAAAAAAAAAACTTGCCAAAATTGTTGAGTAATAATAATGATAATAATAATAATAATAATAGTTAACGGGAGAATGGATTATTATTTTGGAATCGGACCAACCAAAAATTTGTTTTTTTGTTTTCCGCGCGGCGAAAAGAGACATCGAAACAGATTTTTTTTTTTTTTTTTTTTTTTTTTTTAAGAGAAAGAGAGAGAAAATCAAAAATGAAAAAAGATGAAAAATGATGGACAATTGATGCGAACACAAATACGTGTGCGCGGATTTTTTTTTTTTTTTAAAACCCCAAAAAAAAAAAAAAATGGGGTCACGGTTTTATTTTTTATTAATATTTACGGTTAAAATGTTTTTTTAAATGTCATCATTATCACGCGAATATTATTATTATTATTATTCGGGGTGTTTTGCCCCATCATTAAACCAATATAATGTTTTTTTTTTTTTATTGTTTAAAAAAAATTTCAAATCGGAAAATCGTGAACGGTTGCGGTATTAAAAGGTTTTTTTAAAATGATAAAATTCCGTTGATTTAAAAAAAAAAAATTTTTTTTACGTTTTGGTGATGGTTGTTTCAGGTTCGAACGGAACGTGAATGAAGATTTAATCTCATCATGCGCCTATTTAGGAGGCGATGTTCGGATCCGAATCCCCAATTGGTGAGTTTGCAACACATATCGGATGCGACAGTAAACGATGACGATTATGGTGATGTCGACGGTGGTGGTGGCGGTGGAGGAGGGGTGAAAATCCGATCCGGACAATCATCTCCGATCATTTTGGGAAACGGAACCTGTACTCCGATATTAAGTTCTCCAAAAGCTGTACGAAAAGGTAAAAAAGGTTTTACATATATTAATCGCTAACGAAAGAAACCATTTAAGGTTTTTCAAGTTGTTATTATTATTATTATTATTATTATTATTTGTTTTTCATACGTGGGTTTTATCAAAAGGATTTAATAATAATAATAATAATGCCGAAGGAAATAAAAATTTTCCACGTTTTTTTTCTTACATAAACACTCGCACACACACCAACTTTATTTTTTTTTTTTAATAATGAGAATAATGATAATAAATGTAAATTACTTAAGTGTTGAACGTTTTAATATAATTAACTTTAACTTTAAAAAAAAAAACTTTTCAAAGCAATTAAAATTTATTTAAAGCGATATAATTCACACATTATGAAATTATTGTAATTACAATAGGAAAAAAATATTCTCTCGGAAACGTCGTTGTTTACTTTGTAATTATTTACTAAAAGAAAAACCAGGCACAATATCATAGAGATAATTTTATAAAGGTGTTAGTCAGGTATTATGAGATTTTTATAAGATTTTAATAAATTTTGCAATAGGTTTGTCAACGTGGGGTAAAAAAGTCGGTAGAAAATGGGATCAGTTAAAGCGAAGCGATTCATCTGAGGTTTTATCCGTGTCTCCGGGTCGAAGACGACGATGGTCACCCTCGAAATCATCATTGCCACCGACGGGACAAAGTTCATCGTTGAAAAGTCGAAAAGTGTCACGCGTGGAATCCCTGAGACATTTATTTGCACGTGGAGTTCTCGACAAGCACGGAACACACGGTAAATCTCCAAAATCAACGTGGAGAAAAGAAGAATGGCGTAAAAATATTGCCGATCTTTACGGTTCGAATCAACCCCTATTCGACGACCCGAACGAAATCCGACTTAAAAAACTATTAACGATGTTTCAAAATTCTGAAAAAAGCGAATTGTTGCATAAACAGCTCATCGAATACGTTTTCCGACAGAAATCCGAACAAAATGTTACCGGTGGTCGCGACGACGGTAACGGTTTTTTACGATTTGACGATTTGCCCTTGAGAAAATCCACGAGCGAAAGCGACGTTTCCGAATTGAATAATAAAACGCAAATGACGGGTTCGAGACCGAGAAAATTGGATGTTTTAACCGAAGAAAATCCAATAGGTACGCCCAAGAGTAAAAGAAGTAACAAACGATTGGGTGATAGATTGGCATCGACGAGCGTTGACGATATTTTTACCGCATCCGAAGAATCTCCCTACAATATACAAACGGTCACCCCGTCAAAAACTAATGTCTCGCCGTCGGCTCATTTTTCCGTAGATGAACTTTGCATGTTTTTAAATAATATATTAGCCAAATGTGACGAAAGCGGATACGACAGCGATTCGACGAGAAACGGTTCGGATTCTCCGAGAGATTCCATAACATCGACAAAATCCGATCAAAAGAGAAACGTCACGAGGCACAACAACAACACGAATAAATCATCATTTTCCGAATCCGATGGATACGTGAAAAATTCAGACGGAAAATTGTTAAAAAACGAAAGAATATCCGGCGTCACGTTGAAAGAAAAAAATAAAAGATCGTCGAATCACAACATAAATGATGTCGGAACGGAAGAAAAATTTTCATTCATACGACGACGAAGTCCGAAATTAAGTTTTAGCGAACACAGGAACAAATATACGAATTCTGTACATTTTCCCAAAGAAGAAAATAAAAATGGCGACGCGGGAGGAATCATTGACGATTCGAAATTATGTGAAAAATGTAAAAGCGAACCGATTGAAAAGTGCGACGATAATAATTCTGTGAAAATAACGAGTTTGTATCAAAGGTTTTTAAGAAATCGTAATTATTTTCCAAAATCCGGTGGTGGTGGTGGGGGGGAAAAATCGGAAAAAGAATTTAAAACGATTAGATTTTACAAAGAAGAATATGAAGAAATGGGGATTTTCATTGAGAAAAAAGATTCAAATGCGAAAACGAGTAATTGCGTCGTAACACAAATTGAAAATGGCGGCCTGGCAGATAGAGACGGCCGTATTAAAATAGGTGACGAATTAATAAAAGTTAACGGTAAAAGACTGAGAGGGGTTTCGCTTGGAGAAGCAAAAGTTATTTTAAAAAATGTCGGAAAGGAAGTTGAATTAGTGATAGCGAGAAATCCGACGTCGGAGGATTCGGAAAGGAAAAATCACAAAGGAAATAATTACGAAACTGAAAAAAAAACTGATAGAAAAGATTCACACGGTGGTAACAGGAAAATAAGTTTATCCGATTTACTCGTCAATAGATCTTCGGTCAATTCTAGTTCGAAAGAAATTTCTAGAAATTTCGGTTCGAAATTAAAAAGTGATAATAATAAATTCGATTCGGAAATGATAATGCCAAAAACTAAACCGCCGCCGATAGTCACGCGGTCTGATAAAAATCACGAAACGAAATTCGATAAAGACAAAACAATGACGGGCATGCTTAAATTTTCGTATAATTTTGACGCCGTGACCCCGAGGTCACAGCGAGAAAACACACTTCCGCCCAGTTCTTTTAGCGCGACGGGGGGAATGAAAGGAAGCGAAGGAGGAGGAGGAGGAGGAGGAACTTTGCCGAGACGTCCGAAATCTCTCACTTTATCTTTTTTAACCGTCACGTTCGTCAAAGGTCCTGGAAAAAAATCCTTGGGTTTTAGCATCGTCGGCGGAAAAGATTCTCCCAAAGGAAACATCGGGATATTTGTTAAAACGATTTTTCAATCCGGTCAAGCATCAGAAGATGGTAAACTCAAAGAAGGGGATGAAATATTAGCCGTGAACGGTACCCCCCTACAGGGTATGACACACGCAGAAGCGATAAACATGTTTAAAAATGTTAAATCTGGAGAAGTCATGTTACACGTTGGAAGAAGGGATCCGCTCCAGAGAAGGTAAATTTTAAAACAATTTTTACTTCTTCCCCATCTGTCTGGATTTACGCCATTTTGTTTTTCGTTCGCAGCAATGATTTTTAATTATTTTAATTTTGCTTTTTATTTATATATTTTAACCCGTAATCAAAAACCTTTTTTATCGCGTCGCTTTTTTTTTTCACACACTTTATTTTATAGCAGAAGACATTTTTTTTTTAAACGGATTGAATGAGGTTTCTGAACATCTACTATGAGGTACTATATCGTGCTATATTATAGTTATAGAGCGTTTTTGTTAGTTGCTCGAATGATTTTTTTTTTTTTTTGCTTTTTCTGAACCCAAGTTTAAAATTCTCATTCTCGATTATTATTATTATTATTTTTCGGCAAAGGTAGCAACAGGTTCGTTAGTTCAGGTTTCTGAACATAAAATAAATTCATTTTTTTAATTAAAAAAAAAAAAAAATTTGCGGTTAATTAGGTAAAAAAATAATAATAATAATAATTAATGTTTGCTACTATGAAAATTGTATGTTTTGAACTTTTGATTAGGTCGTTTATTATGGGATTAGCCCCTCCCCTTCCCTATCCTTAATTTTCCTTTGTCATTTCCTTTTCCCCCCCCTCTCTCTCTCTTTCTCTTTCCTGTTTACGGTATTTTTCTCAAAGGAAAAATTCCGATCATTTTCCATGTACATTAAACCTTTGATTGATAATTGGCATTTCTAAGAAAACCAAGAAGAAATTTTTTTCCCCTTTTTCTTCTTCCCCTTCCCCATCATCCCCCCCGCATCTTTCTATTTCGCTCCAATTTTTTAAAGAGGTTAATTTTTCAAAGGAATCTCAAAGGAAATACAAAACCCGTCATTATAAAAAAATTATAAATAATAATTATATACAACGTCCCGTCGGCTTCCTAATTATTTCAACCAGGAAAACAAAAGCAGAAGGAAGGAAGGGAGCAAAACGCACGTTTTTTTTTATTTAAATGAATGCCGAAAAATTTTCATCCCCAATTCGTTTTTTTCTTTCATCCCTTATTTCCCTATTTTTCGTTGACAAATTAAGATAATTTTTTTTTTTTTTTCTGTTGTTATTTCAGATGTGCTAAATCGAAATCTTGCGACGATTTGGATAAATTCGATTAAATGATAATAATAATGATAATTTACTATAGGAAAATAAAAAAACTAAATAAACGTCGCCAAAGTTACCAAATTTACAAAAAAAAAAAAAAATTTTAACGCCGCGTTTTTTTTTTTTTTTTTTTTTTAAATAAACAACATGGAAAAGGAAAATTTTTTTATAGACTTTGTTTGTGTCGCGTTTTTGTGTTTGTTTGTGCAATAACGTTATATTGTAATACTCACAGTGTTGTCGTAGGTAAACTTAAAACAACCGATTGTTTTCTCTCTCTCTCTCTCTCTCTCTCTCTCTCTCTTTCTCTTTTTCTCTTCTTTTGATTTCGAATCCACTGGTTACATTTAGGGTTACGAGTTTAAAAGTTTTCACCCTCGTTTTTAACAACAAACAACGGGGGGGAAAAAAAACCCGAAATGAACGAGTTTGTTACTTTTGTTTGTTTTGTTATTTAAAGTTGTTAACATGTTACACGCACGCACACGCGTACACACGCATCTTCACTCACTCAATCACTCACGCCCTTAATTACTTAACAAAAAATCTATTTTTTTTTTTAATTATCGAGGAACTCACACGCACACGCGACAACATCGCAAACGTCTGTTCGTACCGAACGGTTTAAAAGAACATCATCATCATCATCATCATTTTATATATTCGAACGGTTGATATTTAAACCCGTTCGAACGCTTTTAATTATAATAAGGGAAGGAAAAGGGCGTGCGTGCGTGCGTGCGTTCGTTCGAAAAGTAACATTAACAAAATTAAAACAAAAGCTTATTAATTAATTAATTAATTAAATCGAAAGAGAGTGTGAGAGCGAGAGAGAGAGAGAGAGAGAGATAGAAAAAGACAGAAAACAAATTTATGTTTTTTAACATTATGTACATAAAATAATTTTTATACGATTGTATATGTGTGTTTAAATAAAATTTTGACGTTCGCATTAATTTTTTTTTAATCAATAAATTAATTAATTAAACAAAAAAACGATGACGTTTTATTCATTATTATTATTATTATCATTATTATTATTATTATTATTATTATTATTATTAATCTATTTTTAAAAAAAAGTTTTGTCTCATCACGGTCCTGACAACACGAATGCGTTTTATCGTTTTTATTACGTAAAATAATTTTTTACGAACGCCTCAACGTTAATCCTCTTCGGATTATAAAAAGAAAAAAATCCAGATTAATACGGATAATCCGTTAAAAATTTTATTATTATCATTATTATTTTAGTTGAATTTTCAAGTTTTATACGCGACCTAAATTTTTTATTATTTGAGTGATAGTAATATCATCATCATCGTCATCTTCTAATGACACGTCATAAAATTCCACACGTTCGTATTTTGTAAATCACGACGATGGTGCCGAAAATCGTTCGTTATCGTTATCAGGTACGAACGAACGAACGTAATTAATGATAGGAACGTTTGTTCGTTCGCTCCTATCGTTTTTTTTTATTTTAGCATAAGATAATTTATATATTTTCACGTGATTGATTGTTTGTTTGTTTGTTTGTACGTTTGTCGTTTTTTAAGGGTCAACAACATTCTTAAATAAAAAAATTTTTTTTTAAATTTTTCTAGAAAGTTTTGTTTAATCTGTAAAAATAAGAAAATAGCTGATGATGATCGGACTGTAACGCGTTCGTTTTTATCGCCATATTTGTAATATTATCATTATTATTAAGCGTATAACCACGACGAATAACGTTTTTTTTTTAATTTGAAATTTTAAAAAAAAAGCGCGAATTTTTTTGCTCATTTTATTACCCGTAATTAAAACGAAAATCTGATTGCGTAATCATCACGATTTTAATGATAATAATTTTAATCTGGATAAAAGAAAATTTTATTATTATTATTATTTGTTCAGGTGAAATGAAATCGTTTCGTACAAACAACAAACAACAACTACAACTATTACTAGTACTACTACTACAACTCATCTCGAAACATTGAAATGGTGTGAATGTACCGGTTAAATTTAGTAACCGATTTACCTTGACCGGTAAAACGGTAACATTTTGGTAAATTTTTTGTTTGTTTGTTTGTTTGTTTTATTACAACAAAATAATAATAATAATTATTATTATTTAAATTTAAATAATTAGGTTGCAGTAATTAATTAAATTTTTTTTTGCATTTTGCTTTTATTACTCACATTTTAATCCCGGTAATAAAAAAAAAAGGAAAATTTTTTTTGCTTTTTACAGGTGACCGAGATTTGAATTTTTTTTTTTTTTAAATTAATAATTAATAACTTATTTATTTCAAATTAATTATTAATTAATTATTATTATTATTATTATTATTATTATTATTTTCAGTTTGATGTTATGTACATATATATATTTATGTGGTTATGTATGTGTTGCATGATGATAAATTATTAATATTAAATTTATTTTAATAGGATTCACGGATGATGATGACGATGATAATAATAATAATCGATCGATGACCGACCGACCGACCGATCGATAGATCGATTGACCAACCAACCGATCGATCGATTCGTTATCATTAAACGATTCAACGATTCGAAAATTCCAGAAATTCCATTTTTTTTCATTTTTTTTCCGACCTGAAAACTTTATTATTATTATTATTACTATTATTACTATTATTACTATTATTATTATTATTATTATATTGTTAATAATTTTGATTAATGTAATTTTTTCTTTTTTTTTAGCCGTCAATAAATTATATCGATCGATAACTATTATTAATAGCGATTTTTGATTTTTTTTTTCTTGTTTGTACGAGTTTTTCTTTTTAGAATTTTGTCTCCAACGCGTTTGTTTGTTTGTTTGTTTGTTCAATGAACAAGAAAGAAAGAAAATTTTTTTTTTCGATGAATGTATACAAAAAATGAAAAGTTTTTGTTACAATTTAATATTGTTTATCACATTTTGCATGTGATTAATTATTATTATTATTATTATTATTATTATTATTATTATTGTTATGTATTGTTATTATTATTAACGTATTAATAAAGAAAGATTTGTAGGTGTAAATAGAAATAATAATAATAACAATGGTGGTGAGTAAGTAAATTTATTACAAAATGTAGAAATGAAAATAATAAAAGTTTGATTTTGTTTGTGTGTGTGTGACGTAAGCATTACGTCATAGCAAGAAAAGTAAATAATAACATTATGTACATAAAATGTAAATTATTATGTTGTCGTTCTTGTTATTATTATTAATATTATTTTATATTGGAAAGTAAATAAATAATAAAACGTAATAATCATCATCATCATCGCGTAAATTAAAAAAGTCATAGATTAATTAAACGCATGTGCGTATGCGTGTGAAATTAAGGCGAAGAAAAAAAAGTGCGTATACGACATTTCAGCGAATTATGTAGTCGCCCATTATTGTACGCGTAAATAGAATAAATGAAAAATTAAAATTCTCGCATGTGTGTGTTTATCGATTGATCGATCAATCGATCGATCGATTATCATTTACATAATATCGTTAAAGGTGATTATAAATAAATAAAATCGTCGAAGGTTGTTTTTCTTTTTTTTCATTGTAATACGCCCCCCAAGTTATCAAAAAGAGAAATGTAAGTCACTAGTGCGTAATTATTATTATTATTATTATTATTATTATTATTATACATTGACAACGATTTGTCCTCGTATCGCGATTGATTAATTTCTTTATCTCTCTCTCTCTCTCTCTGTTTCTTTCTCTCTTTTTCTTTCTGTCTCTCTTCCCCTGCCTCCCCTTCTTTCTCTACTTCTCCCTCTTTCTCTCTCTCCCTCTTTCCTTTTCTCTCTCCTTCTCTTTCCTTCTCTCTCTTTCTTCCTTCCCTCTCTTTCTTTCTTCCGTCTCTTTCTTTCTTCCATCTCTTTCTCTCTCTTTATTTCTTTTCTCTCTTTCTTTCTTCTCTGTCTCTTTCTTCCTTCCATCTCTCTCTTTCTCTTTATTTCTTTTCTCTCTCTCTCTCTCTCTCTCTCTCTCTCTCTCTCTAACGTACATTTGTAAACACGAATTCAAAGGACTTTTACCAAAAGAAACAATTCGAGAGAGTAAACTTGCTGTTGAGGTCATTACGCGCGTTATAACGCACGACATTGCTGGAGAAAAAATATTATTATTATTAAAGTGACAGGGATAAATAATTACTGTCGATAATAATAATAATAATAATAATAATAAAACATAAATCACGTGTGAATTCGTCGATTACTTGCAAGTTTTTCTTTTTTTCGGTTCGCAAATAATAATAATAATAATAATAATAAGTAATCGGAAGGTTATTTTAAATAAGTTTCTTATGAAACTTCTTACGAAAAAAAAGCAGCAAAAAAGCTAAAAGGTCAAAGTTCAAGATTTTATTTTATTTTTTTATTAATTAATAATAATAATAATAAAGACGATGAGATTTTTTTTCTTTAAGGAACGTTTTGGATTTCGTAATAAAAATTTCGTGGAAGAAGAGAGAAAAAAAAATAAGGAGCTTTCATTATTATTATTATTTTTCTCGAAACGTTTAAATCGATTCTCGATATCTCGAGAAGAAAGAAAAATAATAATAATAATAATAATAATAAAAGAAATTGTTTTTTTTTTTTTTTTTGGTTTAAAAACGTCGACTTTTTTTTTAATCTCAGGTAGTAAAAAACCAGGAATCGTCGGCCATTTTAATTTTTGAACCTTAAGGCGAATTATGTGTTAAGGGCTATTGACCTATTATTTGTGTGTGTGTGTGTGTGTGCGTGCGTGTTTATGTATCTATGTATACATAAGTTTTTATGTATAAATAAATTTCATTTTTATTTTACTATTTCTTTTTGATTTACGAATAAATTTTTTTTTTAAGGGAGAGGGGAAGGGTAAAGATATAAAAGGGATTTTAAAAAAAATAATTATTAATTAATTTAAAATAAATAAATAAATAGTAATAATAATAATAATAATGATGATTATATTTTGTAGAGTTTGTTCACGTCATAAAATTCCATGAATTTCTTTTTTATTATTATTATTTTATTCGTTCTCTTTGGGGAGAAGAGTTCAATCGTGACATGTGAACAAAAGTCTTTTTTTTATTTATATTTTTTAATTAAAAAATTTATTTAAATAAATAAATAAATAAATAAAAATGAAAAGAATGGATGTCGTTGTGTTTAAATATCTAATTATAAAAATATGTATGTATTTCGAAATGTTTTTATTTTTTATTTTTTTTTAGGAATGAAAAAGAAAATAATTTTTTAATGAAGGTTATGTATTTCTTATTTACAATTTAATAAATTACATATATATTGAGTAATTGTGGAAGAACATTCTGGAAAATGAGAAAATTTTTATTTATTTTTTTTTTTTACAATAATAAGGTAAGTAAGTAAATCCATGTATTTACGTATTGTTTGTAAAAAAAAAGCTTATGTAAATATCTAATAGATGGCATTAGTTTTCACTTATTGTACCATCTACTTCGAAACGTTTTAATAACAATCTAATTGAAATTTTTTCTCATGGTTTATAATTTTCCCGATAGATGTCGCCATTTTTATTTATCAATAACAGTTTGTTTTTAAATTTAGTTTTTATAACGGTTAAAAGATGTCGTTGTTTTATTAAAATGTTTTTTTGATAAAACAAAAGATGTCGCTGAATATCACGATTTATCCCATGTGATTTTGAGTCCGTTTGTTTTTGTTTATAAATTTTTTTTTACAAAAAGATAAAAATACATTATAATAATAATAATAATTAATTCCTTTGAATTGTTTTTTTTTTGTACGAGGGCAAAAGATAAATTTCATTTTTCTTTTAAAAAATAATTATTTTATTTACAAAATAAAAATAAAAAAAAAAAATTTAATTCGATCGGGACTATCTAAATAAGTAAATAATTACATATGAAAAATTGGCACTCGATTGCTTATCATTATCAACATTATTTAGTCTTCTTTATTGGATGTATGTAATAAATCAGCGCAGGATTTAGTAACACACGACCTAATAAAAAAATAAATAAATAAATAAAAATTATAATCCGTTAACAAGTAAAAAAAATTTTTTAAAAAAGACGAAAAACTCACGTTTCTTCTGATTTAGTTCTTCTACATATGTGAAGAGCGATGGGTCCGACTTTAATCCTTTTAAAAATGGCGACAGCTTCCGTATGTGTTAAATCGTGACAAACTTGTCCGTTGACGGCAAGTATTTCGTCACCTAAAAAAAAAAAAAAAATTAAACGTAAAAATGGCGGAAAAAATTCTGCTTAAAGAAAGCCTCGAACCAAATATTTAAAAAAATTTATGCCAAGGTATCAAAGGGTGTGTACCTGAAAATATTCAATTGAAAACTTGTCGTATATATATTGGCAATTTGATTTTTTGGAACGTTTCTATTTCCGGATGACACGACGAAATATAATAATAATAATAATCGTTAATATTAAAACCACGTCGAAATAAAAAAATTTTTTTTTTCTTTTTTTAGAGATTCCAGCAAAGAATGAATGAAATAAATAAAAAAATGCCGGAACGAAGTTATTAAGACGAATAAAACAAAAATAAAAATTAAGTAGAGATGATGAGAGAGAGAGTTAAAGAGAGAGAGAGAGAGAGAGAGAGGGAAGGCTCCAGGGGAAAACAACAAAAATTCCATCCATTACGTAAAAGGATAATTTAAATTTTTTTTTTTGGCGGTAAATGAACATATCTGGAGGATGATGTCTGGAAAAAAAAAAATTAAACTCTCGACTAACCTTCTCTTAATCTTCCATCTTCTGCTGCTTGTCCATTATCCAAAATACTTTTTATAAATATACCCAAAGCACCTTTGGGTGAATCTTTTCCACCGACTATGGTAAAACCTAAACTTTTTTTCCCGGGTCCTTTTTCGTATATGATGGTTTGAAAAGAACATATCGTAGATTTAGGTCTTCTAGGTAGGGTACATAAATTACCATTGAGGAACAAAGAACTTTCGGTTATTGATTTTTTTTTTTTATTCATATTCGATGATTGTAGGATTAGACTAGATTGTTGTTCGTCGTTTGAAGAATTATAATTGGCCAATGCTTTTTGTAACATTTTTGAATTTATACTATTTCCGTTTCTTAATAATATTTTAGCTTTGTCCATTTTAGGTTTCGACGGTGTCGAACAAAATCCTGGTGTGAATATTACTGGACGGCTACCATCTTCCTCGTTTTCCATTTTCTTTTTTATATTTACCACCGTCGATGTACTCGATGATGACATTTGTATTTGTACATTTTCATAATCCACAGAACTTTCTCGCATTTTTATCGGTTTTTCTCTTTTAACCGTTACCGCATCCTCATCTTTTGACACCGAACGTGCTATCACTATGTCAACTTCAACGGGTCCGCTACATAAAATTCTTCTTGCCGTCGGCATTGAAAGTCCACGAAGTCTTCGTCCGTTAACATTAACTATTTCGTCTCCGACCAATAAATTTTTATCTCTGTTAAAACAAAAGAAACAAATCATTAACGACGATCACCATTTTCTTTTCTTAAAAAAAAAAAGTGTCGCGTACGTGATCGAAATCAATCATCATCGTTATTATTATTATTATTATTATTATTAAATATATATGTATAAGTAATGTAACTGGGTCGATTTATTAATCCGGTTTTGTCTTGGGTAAATAATAATAATAATAATGAATTTCCACATTTGATAAAAGTAAAAGCGTTAATTGATATTTAATGACGGACACGAATTATTTTTAATTTAAAAAAAAATGGATACAACCCCTCAGGGAGTGTTTTGGGGGTCGAACAAATAAAATTTTGAAATCGATTGATAATTTTTAATATTCGATTATCGATATTAATAACAAACTTGGAAAAACGATCGATCGTAAATGTTTTTTTTTCAGAGGGCATGAAAAAAAAACCCTTTTGGTTGTTGTTGTGGTTGTTGTCCTCGTCCCTCCCTCTCTCTACCTCTCTCCCTTCCTAGTTTTAACACGAAAAAATTAATCGTTTCCTCATAAACTTTGTTAATTTTTTTTCCAGTGTTAAAGTGTGATAATGATAACTTTGGAAGCGTTTTGGTTTTTGACTGATTACGTAACGCGGACGATAAGAAAGTATCCGAAAGGTATATAGCCTACCTACGGTTCTAAGATGGATATAAAGAAAAGGAAAACAAATATTTAAAAAAAAAAAGCGGCAACGTCGTCGTGTCGTGTCGAATCGGTAATATTAAATAATAATAATAATAATAGTTTCTCCTACGCATTTTACTTACCTATCGGCTAAACCATCAGGTACAATGTGGGCGATGAGATAACCCGGTGCCCCTTGATCAGCTAATTTTGTTTTAGCTATAAAAATACCCAATTCTTCATCCGGTGAACTTCTAAACAATCGAATAACTTTAAAAATTCTTTTGCATTCCGAGGGTGATGATGATGATGATGCCGTCGCAGATTGTTTTATTCTATCTTCTCCATCATCATCGTCATCATCTTCTTCTTCATCATCTTGAAATTCTTCTTCGTCACCTTCGGAACTACCTCTCGATTGTTTTTGATAATTTTTTAATACTTCTCTTCTATCAAGGGAAACGGAACGTTTGGATAATCTTTTTCTTCTTCTTGCATTTTTTATACTTCTTACGCTGCTTCTATCGCTGCTCCACGAATCTCTGTTTGTTTTATCACAAATCGAAGAATTATTTCGAATCGTTTGTTGTTGTTGTTGTTGTTGTTCTCCGCTAGCACTTCTCGAATGGGATATTAATTTTTTATCGATTTCTAAAACGCACGACGTGGAATCGTTAACAATGATACCACTATCGCCATCTTCGCAATCCGGCATCGATGTACCATCCATTAAAAGAATTTTATCGTTGTGATTATATTCGGAGTCGTCATCAATGTAAAGGGGATTACCTTTGTTATGAAATTCTTCCAAACCCGGAAGTGCACCGTAAGAAAAACTACGTAATTTTTTATTTCCCCCTCTACCTTTTTTCGGTGTTTCGAAATCGTTTTGTTTGTACAATTTTGCTAGGATTCGATTCGTCGAAGATTTTAAAAATCTATCGGAAATGGATCTTAATTTGGCACCTAAACATGAATTACCGTTAAATGATTCGTTAACGTCACCATTTCTTCGTCTCATCTTATACGTTTTCCAATTTTTCGTCATGTTTTCATCTTGTTTTTTATTTGTTTTTTTATTTAAACCCCCACTTAAACCCCCGGAAAAACAATCAATGTCATCGTTATCATCATTATTATTATTTTTTTTTTCAATCAATTTAACGTCCATTCTAGAACTTTGATGTTGTTGTACATCGTCTGGAAATTGCGAAAGGATTTCCGAGGATTGAAAACAAGATAATTTCGTGTCTTTGACTCTGTCCAAAAGGGGATTCCTTTTTTCTCGTATGAAACCATCTTTTTTAACGTTTCTTTCGGAAAAATCTGTACTTTTGGTCAAAACTCTTGATTCGCTGTGCCAACGTCTGTGTGATGATGATGATGATGATGATTTTTCAACAACCACAAGCATTTCCTTAACATTGTAACAATTTGTTATTTCGCTTTCGCTATCGTCTGCGCTTCCTTGTCTTTGCCATGAATCTGACGAATCTGAAAATTAATTTTATACTTTTATTAATAATAATAATAAATATAATAATAATTTATTTATTTAATGTGTGATGACCATTTTTTTTTTTTTTGATTTCATTTAATTCGAATAAATTTTATATTATTTGACCTTTTAATTCGGTCGTAAATTATTATTCAACGTTGACCGTTAACTTTTGAACTACTTTTTTTTTCTATCTCTCTCTCTCTCTCTCTCTTTATACAATTTGTTTTTAATTTTTTCCATTACCCGCCACTCTCTCTCTCTCTCTCTCATACTTCTTCTCCATAAATTTTATAACAAGGGTCATTCACATACTTACGCATACATAACCGCTAATCGTACCTTTTTTAAATAACGACTTATTACTACTACCACCACCACCACCACCACTACCACTACTACCACTTGATAATTTATCGATTTTTTTTAGTATTGACTTTAACGAACTTTTTACTAAACAAAAAAAAAATCAGATGATAATTACAAATAACCGTACGACGTTCAGACAAAACAACAACAATTTGAACCGTTTAGGAAAAAAAATTTTTAGTTCGGACTAAATTAGTATTTAAGTTTAGTCATTCTTTAACAACTACAACTACTTTGCGTTTTTTTTAAACAATGTTTTCTTTTCATAACGGCAATCATCATCATCATCATCATTATCAAAAAAAAATTACGTAAATTCAATAAATGATGATGAACGAAGTATTTTGTTGTTACGAAAAAATTAAGGTCGTTGATTCTTTATTAAAAACAAACGTTTGTTAACCCTTTCTTCGAAAAGGAAAACGAAAAAAATTAAAATTTGTCGTGGTACTAGAAAATTTAATAAATAAATGTAGAGAGAAGACGAATAATCGCCATCGTCACCCATTTTTTAATAAAAATTTAAATAAAAAAAAAAAAGTTTAATAAATGAATAATAATTATTAATTACCGTAATATTACTTGTAATATTTTTTTTATTACTTATTACCCTTTGACCTTTGAAATAAAAAATGGAGGGGAGGGGGAAAAAAAACTTGAAAAAAAAAAATTTTTTTTTTCCCCCTCATTTATATCGGCTCTCGTTCTTACGTTTGTTGTTCTTATTTATTTATTTAAAAAATTAATAATAATAATAAATGACGTCAATTATTATAAATTAATTACGTAAAAAAAATATAAAAAAAATCAAATGATGATGATGATAATTGTTGTAATTTTTTTTTTTTATAAATAAAAATTTTTCAAGTTCGAAAGAGATTAGAAAATAGATATCCGTTGTTTTTTTTGTTTGTTCTTTCGTCGCCATATTTAATTATTCTCTAGAATGTTCGTCACTCCAACTACCACTACTACTACTACTACTACTACCACTATTACGCAAAATCGTTGTTGTTGTTGTCGACGACTACGATTGGAAAAAAAAAAAAAAAACTGTTAACTAATTGTTTCGTATTTTAAGGCCGAATCGTGCCTAAAGGAACCAACCGACGATGATTCATATTAAAATTATTTTCGTTTCTATTAAAAAGGGGAGCCGCTATAAAGGTGAGGCTTTCTTACGACTTTCTCTATTTATAAAAAAAAAAAAAATTTTTTTTTTTTTACGATCGTAAATCCTCAACTTTGACCGCCCTCTCCTTCCCCCCGTTACCCCCTTTCTTTACTCCCTTCCCCTTATTGTTTCCCCCCCCCCCGATTATTTTCGAACGATGATTATTTTTAAAAAAATTTAAAAAAATTACCAAAAATATTACCAACCAATTACCTTAACTATAAATTATAGCTTGCTATATAAAATATAGACATTTAAAATTATTAGGTTGTGTTGTTATTATTATTATTATGTGAGAGTTTCACGAATTTTTTTTTTTTTTTAATTCGAATAAAATTTTTAAACGTTTTCATCAACGCCTTAAATAAATTTCTAATTTACGTACTAAATACTATATAGTTAGCTATAAGCTATAAATATTTTTGTTAAGAAAATCTAATCTATTTTTTTTTTAAATCATAAAAAAATCTTGACAATAAGTAAACATGAAAAAAAAGCGCGGAAACGTGAAATTAAATTTCTTCCCTCTTTTTTTGTTTGTTCTATTCTTCTGACACTTTGTTTTTCTTGCCTTGCAATACTAATATTAATAATTAGTGAAGAGAGGGCGCGGGAGTGAAACGGTTGTCACGCGTTTTTACATCACATCAATTTATCTAATTAATTTTAATAGTTTTATTTAATGATTTAGTTATGAGTTATGTATCAAAAGTTTTGTTATTTAGTGTAGTTTATTGTGATGTAATTAGTTTTTCATATTATTTAGTGATAATTATAATTATTTTAAGTTTAATTTTACAAATGGTCAAAGGTTTCATGTGACAAAAGGAAGCTTGGGTAGTAAAAGATTTTAGATGATGGCTTAATACACCTGATTATTATAGGTAAGTACCTTCATTTTAAGTATTAAATTTTACTTGCAAACATGTCGGACCAACTTAGAGATAAAGCAAATATCCAAGGAACAGTTTTAAAATTTTACAATTTATTGGCTTTGTTTTACAAATTATTAATTTATTGGGTTAATTATAGTTTGTTTAATTAAATATCTTTTTAATATCATCATAAAAAACAAGTAAAGTTGGAGTAATTTAATAAAAAGATGTATTAATAATGATTGATTTGATACATGTTAATTCAGTGTATACAAATTTCTATACTCTCTAATCTTTAAGGGTTAATTTATTGATTGTTGGTTGTTTAAAGCCTTTTCTTGACTTAGTTTGTCTCATTACAACATAGTTTATCATAGAGATAATGTAATACTCTCTATAAATCTGAATCAAAGTCAGGAAGAATTGGGTAGCCTTATGTTAGTTGATTATAGTGTAAGGAATTATGAAAAGACACAATGGACTCCATTGAATGTTTGTTTGTACTTCTTTTGAACTGATTATAAGTAGTTGAACTGAATATCTTTGTCACACTATATAAAAATGGAGATGGTTTAATAAAAATATATGTAATTAGTTAATTTATTGTATCAGGTGGATGTAAAATCTTTGTACTCCTGTTTTAAGTGTGAATCTATTGATTGTACATTTCATTAACCCTTTTCTTAAGTTAGTTTGTTTCTTAATGTTAGTTTGTTTGTTTGTTACATTGTTGTTAGGTTGTTTCAAACATATTTTGCCATATGTTTGGTGTAAAATTCTCTTTTAATTTCATTTAAGATTAGAATAATTCAACAACTGCCTTCAGATTACACTTAAGTTGTTAGGTACAAAATTGTAATTGGTATCTGTAATTGTATATGTATACTGTGCATACATTCAGGATGGAATGCATGGGGGATATTATGCAAAGGGGAAACAGTTGGAAAATTAAATATGGAAATAATTGTAAGGACAAAGCATATTCTTTTTACTTAGTTACACTTAATAAATTCACCCCTAATGATAATAATGATTGATTCATAATTGTAATAGAGCAAAATGAGAACAAGATAAAGACAGAACCAAAAAGGGAAATCTTGTTTCAACCTGAGTCAGCTCTTGACAAGGCTGTAAATCTCACTTCTCCTGTTTCTGGTCATTCCACAGATGTCAATCACTGGAACCCAGTACAGGAAATAACTTGTTTTTTCATCGAATAAGATGGTCTCAGTGAGATTTACAAGAATTGTTGTGATTCCGTTTAGGTTATTAAAGGTGAAAACCTATTCAAAGGCGTAGCATAACTGACATTTAGGCATTTATTCCTTAGGGATCGTTGGGTAGAACCTGGATTAAATGTTTAAGAAACCTCCGACGGAAACATAAAGACGAATAATGAAAATAATAATAATAATAATAATAATAAAATTTAAATATTTCGTACGGTCGAATGAAAGACTCCATGTTTTTGTTTTTTGTTTTAAACCTCGTGGCAAATTATACCGAGCGTAAACCGTTTAAAACGTTCATCCTTTTATTATATAATAAAAAAGCGAGTAATAATTACCTAAATCCGTTGAAATTTTAATGGAAGAAGTAATAATAATAATAATAATAATAATAATAATAATAATAATAATAATAATAATACGAAATAAGATCATTTTAAAAATTTTGTCGATGGAGGGGGGGGGGGTTTGAAAAAAAAAAAAAATTCGTGAAAATTAAAACCACGATTTATTATCTCTATCCCCGATTTGAAAAAAAACAGTACAAAAGGTCAAAGGTAAAATAATAATAATAAAATCCATTCGAAACGTAAAACGAACGATTTTTGTTTTCTTTAATTATCATTATTATTATTATTATTTTAATTTTATAACGACGAATATTTACATCTGTTTACACGTACGACGAGTATTTATATTTAGACCTTTAACTAACAAACATTGCAAGTCATTTTCCTATAACTAATTTTACTATAATATAGTAAGTAAGCTATAAATAAATTTTAATACTATAAAAGATGAAAGGTTTTTTTTTTCTACGCGTAACGACACTCGGTTACACAATTCATAAAAAAAAAAAAAAAAATTTCTTAATGTTAAGAGAGATAAAGTTTAAAAATGTAAAATGAAAAAGTTACGCAAACGTTATTTGTATTAATAGAAATCGATCCTTTGTTTGATTTGATTGATACGTGATCGATTGTAGTGAGAGATTTAATAATAAACTTACGTATTATTACCGGTAATAAATTCAATACAAAAAATTATTACTTAAAAAATTGATTTAGTAATCAAAAAAAAAGTTTTCATTCGCAAAAACAAAACAAACAAACAAAGGAATGTTTAATAATAATAATAATAATAATAATAATAGTAACCTTTTGTCGAAATTTTTTTCGTTTTGTTTCTCCATGAATTATCCGTAAATTTTTTACTCCAAATCATTTAAAATAAAATTTATAATAAAAACGGGGACACGCGCGCACAAATCGAATGCAAAAAAAAAAAAATCCGTTAATTTCAAAATAAACTATAGATATTAATAATAATAATAATAAATATTTCGCACGAGTTAAAAAAAAATGAATAACGCGTTACGTACGGAGGTACGAACGAACGAACGAAAACAAACGCACTCGTACATAAACTCGTACGAAACAAACGCATCGACGTACAACAACAACAACAACAACAACAACAACAATAACAATACATATGAAAATAATGTTGGCTCGTGACGAATTAACAAACCAAGGACTACCCACCTATTCTCGATCTATGATGATGATGATGATGATGTAACGGTGCGTCATTATTATTATCGGATTCTTCTCGGTGTCCGGTTCCGATGGCTCTTGGTGGTTCCAGATATTCTTCCAGATGGGCGGACGTGTCGT